TCAATAATATACGGAACTACATGAATGTATTCTGTGACGTCCCTATTGGTCGAGTTATGCTAGATTCATCCGGATGGACTCAAGAAGCCAGGCTCACAATAAAGCTAGTAGTTCTAAGAGATGATTCAGTCAAAACCCTCACAATATGTGCTGCAGAGTGTTGATTATGGGTGTGAAACTCAGAAATATCGGTATGGTAGTTGAGTTTAATTATCTAGCCTTGGACAGGATCATTTTAGCAAGTCTGCTGGGTAAGATAAGTGTAGTGACTCGGAAAGCTCAGGGTGCCTCTCGCCCGGGTGTCACCGTTGGCAACAGTGCCACACCTGCTCACAATGATGCCCATATCGATAGCGATATCACTGCAATACACACTCGTCTCGATAAACCGCTGTTGACGTTAGCCTTTGTCTTTGGTATTATGAAATCCAGGGAAGAGCGACGACTTACGTTGTTGCACAGGTAGATAGAGCAGCTGTTGGAGCAGGCCACGCGAGCACAGGTGCTGGCAGGTACACTGCAGTAGTTGGTGCCCAGGGTGATCAAACGGTTGATGGCGTTGGCGCACTGAGAATAGTACGCTTCGACGTACGTTCCTTGGTTGCAATTCCAGTTGTTCTTTGCTTTGAGTTAGCTTTCTGGCCTTCTCTGTTCCAACCCAGGTGCAGTAGACTCAGAAAGTCTATCAGCAAACTTACGGTAGTCTGTCTAACCTCCAGGCCTTCCTCTGGCTCCTGGAATTCTTCCGCATTGAAGGTAGGGTTGATGGCGAGGATCTGCTCATAGATGGAGGAAGCATCTCCATGGAGGGTGACATTCGGGCCGCCGACGACGACTGGCCCAGTGAAGGTCATCTCGGAGATGGGCAACAGCTGATCCTTCACCTCATCTGCAGTTCGGAATTCCAAGCCATTGTCTGAAGGAGCGGCAATAACCTAGAAGACACAATTAGTCAGATAGCTCCTAGCGCAATGTTCTCCTTGCCTAGGTTACATTTAGACTTACAGCTGATGCCAAAAGGGCAATACCAGCGACGGTGAATCTCATTTTGAAGATATCTGAATCGAGGTGATCAAGAGTGATTCTACTGTTTGGAAGGTGATGATGAAGAGTTAAATAGCCACATGTTCTTGAGAAAATCATGTGTCTTAAATAGTTTCTCGCAAATTTTGAGTTATTTACCTATCGACCGTATGAAGTAGACTCTAAATTCGTATCGTATTATTTGAGGTTGCATTATACCATAAGATCTGGACCCTTGGCAAAGCGGCGGCTCTGTTGCCCTGGCGGTTCCGCGATCCTACGTTTGTCTCCATGAGGAAGCTCAAATGCTCGAAGGATCGCGGGCCGCACTAGTTTGTCAACGCCACACTCAAAAGGAGAACGCATGCCCTGCCAAGCGAGCCTACTATTGGTGACATCGGAAAGCTCTACTGAGCCGAATCGCATTTCTTCGATATCGGGGTTCATTCACTGTATCTGCATGCCCCCAATGTAACTTTGATGATGACCTACTTTGTAGGTGAATGCGTTAGGTTACATGTAAGCTGACTCTCCAGGGCCGCGGACGGTCTCGAGAGTGGAGTAGAGCCTGTGTTGTGTTATTGCGATTAGGCTCTAGCCAGGAACATGTGTAAGTAAGCAGTCAATCGAATCGAAGCGAGTGTCTAGTCGCCTAGCAGAGAATGAAGGATAGTCGGGTCCAATCGGCTTCAAGAGACAAAGAAGTTGCAGAGACCCTTGCGAAGGATCGATGCAACGTCGAAAATCGGACCATCTCGTATTCCCCTCAACCGTTTACAGCTCTAGTTTGTCACGAAGTTGAACTCAGAGAGAACCTCGCAGTCAGGCTAGAAACGAGACCACAGGTCACTGCTCTCTTGTGGCGGATGACGATTTCGGACACGACGTATGGTGTTCTCGCATCAGTACGAAAGACTACTAGATCATGGTCACGAGACTCTAGCACGATGGCTGAATGAGGAACACAGATGGCGGATGCGATGATTTAATTGGTACTTCCTTTCATCTCATTAAGATTTCATGTATTATAAAGCGAACGGTGCACGTCTAAACCATTATTCTTCCGTCTTCCCTGACGATACCGCACCCCGCAGTGGTCTGTCACTAGCGAAAGAGGGGTCATTCGTCTGCGTCGTAAACTGCAGCTTCGATGCCAGCAAGTCGACGCTGTCAACAGGAACGTAGTCAGCAACTCTGTATCATGACTTTCGGAAAACCACGTGAGAACTTACTACATAATAACGGGAAAGAAGCAACCGAGCGCATAAGCAGCCCGATCCACGTATCTCGTCGCGGGACTACTCTGCCACACGTTCAACGAATGCGTAATCACCCGTATCGCCGCCGCCACGGCCAGCGAAGCGACGCGGATCTCTGTGCTGCGCATCAGGTACCGGATGAAGCTCGTTCGGAGACCGGCCTCCTTTGACGACTTTCTGACTTCGGCGAAGATGCGGAGGAGAAAGTAGGCGCTGACGCACTCGCTGCTGGCGAAGAGGCCAAAGTAGGCAATGTGGATCCTGATGATGATGCCCTGCAGGCTGTCGTCTTCCCTCAGGATACGGAGGAGACGGTAGTAGATGATAATCACTTTGACGGCGGTGACGAGGACGAGAGTTGACCAGAATACGGTGTGGAAGACTCTTCGTTTTGTCCCCCGCAGGAGTCTGTTGAGGACGATGAAGCTGTAGAAGGGCAGCCCTGCTTCTTGGATCTATTCGAACTTGCGTTAGCAACTTGAGGTATAAGAACTCCGGAACCTGCAGAAGATGATGCGGGTAAGCGGCTTGACTCACAAGCCAGCAGATGTCGCCAATGGCTGCCGCCGCGGCCCTCTTCGCAAGAGGATACGGCTTGTCATAGTACGCGTGGAAATAGAGTCCGTTCGCGATCGCGCCAGCTGCAGACGAGACGATGGGTACGACCGTGAGCTTAGAGAACGACGTGATTCCGATAATGAGCAGCCCCAAAAACACGTTGAATACACCAATTATGCTTAGCACCGACCAAGCGTGTTCAAAGTACGGGAGGCTGGGCGTTGCATCAAATGTGGCGTTGATCGTGTTGGGCATACCGACGGAGTTCGGTAATGGCACTGGCGACGAGCTCGACATATTTGCTGCTGTAACTGGTAGCGCCTTGCACAATATCCCGCCCAGGAGAACTGGGTTGGCGAAGAAGCTTGTGGTTTGCCCGTATTCGGGTGCGTCGTCGTTACATTCATGTAGTGATCGGTAGCCTAGAGCCTGGGGGTCGTGGCATCTGGCATCTCGCACGGGCGAGAGATTAGGTGGTATCGAACATCGCCAGGTTAAGAGATGAGAAAGAAGGGTATTCCAAGTCACATATTAAATGGGGCACTCCCGCTCTCTACAAGTTTGCTTTCACTTTGGGCCTGACAAAAACCTAGGAGTGGAAGGCACGTGAATGCTTTGAAGGTTCAACCCCCTCCCCATTCTAATCGAGGTGTTGTGACTTGAGGTATCCATGGGAAGCGAACTTATCAGCGAACGGTGCGGGATCACCCAAGTCAAAATTGATGGATTGAGCTAGTAGTTCTTGGAAAACACTTCTCTCGGAAACTTCCCCTCTCGGGACAGAGGCACAAAGAGGAAGAAGATGGAGGAAGAGATGAACTCAAAACAGCTTGACGGGCGCGGTTGACGCCACGTGCGACTCGCGACACACCAGCTACCCGCAGGTCGGTACGATTCATGAAAGACTGAGAAAGTGTAGTTGATGGTTTTCGGGAGTGTTGGTGATTGGATCGATGAATCTCATGATTTCATAGCTTCTTCAACAATCGAAGTCTATATCTGCCTATGCTTTGTCTCCCAACCAATTCAGCTCTCCACGCATAGTGGCTAGATCTCTAGTGTTTGTTACATAAACAATGAAGCTGTCGGTGTGAGCAGAGCATCGATAGAATTAAACTGCTCATGTGGTTTTCCATGTCTTATCTGCCCAGTGCTATCTTGACTTTTTCAACTTTGCTTCATCACTTGGCCTAGAACACGGCTTCGCCCGAAGCTGCGCAAGACTAGGTGAAACCAAAGCACCCGCACCATTTGATTTCGGTTTAGGACACCAGATCTCACCGTGGCAAAATAGTAACGAAGCAGATACCGCGTGATTCTACGCAGCAAGTTCTCCCGGAGCCCTCTTTGAGCCATCAAAACAGCTTTCTTCGGCAGGTTTAGAGGTCCAGTGCGCAAAATTCTAGGTCAGGACGACGCAAGGTTCTCGCCTCACTCCTTTCTTATCTTCGATATCGCTCCTGGACCAGCCCAAGAGCAGAGATGATGGGCTCGAATGCGAGAGAAAATCCGTCACCGCTGGTATTCGATGTGCGAGACTCTCCTTGCCCGACGCCAAGATGCCATCACAACATGGTGCTCAGCTTGCGTAATCTTTTGCAAATGTGCAGAGCGCCCGTAGGGGCAAGCAAACAGTATCTCATGAAAATCAGGTCTTGTGTACTCATTCTATATCACACAATTATCTTCCTTTTGAATTCCCTTCTCCTTTTTTTCGGATCCCCAACGCCATCGCAATGCATTAAGTTGACCAAGATGATCCAGTCCTTATCCACATCGGCGTCCTGTATCTCTTCAGACGGAGCCAGATAATGCGACCCTTTCCACCTGTTTGAATGTCTTCTTCCACTGCCCCTCTCCCCTAGCCTTCCGCCTCTCTGGCATACACACGACAACGAAGTCTCTCACGCCGTAGTCGTAGCTGCCCTTGCTTCTCGGCACGTCTTGTTGTTTCAACCATCTTCTCTAACTCCACAAGAGCCCATCAAATCGAGGTCAATTGTCCGGCACTCAAGCCTCTCGCGACTTGGACAAATATCCCTAGATGCCATGTGAAACTCGAAAGACAAAGGGGTATAAACCCACCCAACCACCCATCAAAGAGTCAAAGGGAGAAAATCACAAATGTCATGTAAAACCAACTTCCTTCCTCAGTCTCTCTCAAGCAGAGCCCAGAATCAAACTCTCCACCATACCGCCCACAGAAGACGCCGTCTGCGCGCGATCAACCTCATTCGTGACCTTCCTCTTGAGAGCCTTGAACCCCTCAAACAGCTCGGCACTGTCACCAGCATACTGCGCATACAGCTCCACGAGCACCATGCCGACCTCGACGCAAATGCTCACGTACCGCGGATCGATAATGTGATCGCACGTCCACTTGAGCACCGGCTGTACCGTCCTCTCATCGCGCCCCTCAAGCGCATCCCGCACAGCAGACCGGTGCCGCAGCGCGAGAAGCAGCGTCAGAACGCCGAGCGGCGAGTGATCTTTCCCGCGCGGATCGAGCGCCTGGTCCAGCGCGCTCGCGTACCGCCCGTGGCGCAGGGCCTTCTCCCACGCCTTCTCCTTGGGCGCGCTGGTGCGCGCGTCCTGCGCGACGATAACCTCGGCCTGGCCCTCGCCCAGGCTCTCGAGGCGGCGCATGGCCGAGGCTTTGCGCTTCTTGCTTTTCGCGGCCTTGTCGTGCTCGTCGAGGGTGCCGGCGAGGAGGGCGGCCATTTCGCGGTCGCGCTCCTTTTGGCGGGTGGCTTCGGGGCCCGTGAGGCGGGTGCGGATGGAGAGGACGCCGGATTGCATGCCCACGACGAGGTGGCGGTCCGCGCTGTCGAGCGCATCGGAGGCCGGGAGGACGCGGAGGGAGAGGATGGGGGAGGGGTACTTTGTCGAGGAGACGACGTTCCAACCGGTGGTCTCGAAGACCTTTACGTGGCCGTCGAGGCCGCCGGTGACGAGGCGGGTGCCGTTGGAGGCGAGGCTGAGGGAGGTGACGGTCTTTTGGTGGTTGGCGATCTGGTGGATGGGGCGGGCGGCGACGAGGTCGAGGACGGAGACCTGGGGGCCCGAGGCGGCGAGGAGGGTGGTGCCGGAGGAGAGGGGAAGGACGGACTCGACGGGGGCGGCGTGCTTGAAGGTCATGACGGCGGCGTTGGAGCCTATTCTCGGGTCCCAGATCTTGACGGTAGAGTCGTAGGAGCCCGAGACGATGACGTTGCCGGCGCCCGACGGGGAGGTGGCCGGGAAGAACTCTGCGCAGCGGACGTAGTCGGAGTGTCCCACGAAGGTGTTGAGCGGGTCGTTGGCCGTGAGGTCCCAGAGGCGGACCGTCTTGTCGTCGGAGGCGGAGAGCAAGGTGGTGGGCTGGGAGCCCGAGAAGCGCGTGGCCCAGACGGGCTGGCGGTGCTTCGTCCACGTCTTGAGGATGGAGCGGGAGTGGGTGTCGAAAACCTGCATGCGGCCTGTATCTTCGGCGGCGACGAGGACGCGGCCGTCGCGGCGCAGGGAGCCGGAGCGGGCGACGTCGGCGAAGCGGGTGATTGTCTTTTCGAGCTTGCGGGTGCGGGAGGAGTAGAGCTGGACACGGGTGCCGGTGGTGACGGCGAAGAGGCCATCGGAGGAGGTCGACGAGATGTGGGTGATTGGGTACGAGGTTGGCGAGGGGATCTGGAGCTGGTTCTTGAAGGACTTCCAGTAGCGCTGCTCGGCCGTCACGGGGGACGGGCCCGAGGGCAGCTTCACCTGCGGGAGGGGTCCCACGGTAGCTGCCATTGTGATATGGTTGTGTAGGCCGTTTGTGCCCTTAAGTGGTGTGGTTGGAGGAGGTGCAAAAATTTGCTCGCTGGCGTGGTAGAGCTGGGTGTTGCGGTGAAGCGCAAAATGTGAGGGTATCGTCGTGATAGACGTTGGTAGTAATTTTTTGGAGTTGAAAATGCTGATAGGCAAAAAAAAAAGATTCTCAATTGAGAATTTCTTAGCGGCTAGTCCTGTTGGAGATTAGCGGATACCCCACATGTACGATAAGATAAGGCGCGGGGCCGGGGCCTCAAAGCTTTTGGAACTTCAACGGACCCGAACGCACCGAAGAGCTCACCATGCCACCTTTAGATGATACTATGGAGAGCTCTTGAAATCAGAAATTGAGAGTGAGCTCTGCTTCACTGAAACATCTGACCTGAATGAAGACTTCGGGGCGCGACAGCTCAGTACGTCGAGATGAATTGCAGACACTCTGTCATCATTTCAACGCCATTCGGCATGGCTGATCCAACGTAGCTAGCTGGGTTCAGTAAGGTACGGATAGCAATCATCAATTCAACCATCGCCAAAATCTCACACCCATCATATCTTGCTTCAGGGTCTCCATCTCAGACTCTTGACCAACACATCACAGGGCACGCAAAGGTACATGTCCACACGTAGACCACTGCGGGCCTTCTACCCCGACGCGATCCCCTTTCGTCCCGGCTGCCCGTAACGTAGCACATCTATACTCAGTAAACCCTCATCCCATCAAAAAAAAAGCATACTCTCATCGCCGCGCAATCCCATCCATCAAACAGTCCCCCAATCTACTTTCCCGAGCCAACACGCAAGGAAACAGAAATAACACACCGCATCGGCAATTGTACATCACCCGGATTTTCCGACCTCAACCCTCGAGGCTGCATCTGCATCTACATCTGCATCAGCTTCAGAAAAAAGTCAAGGCTGACCCGATGACAAGCACTGCCGACATCCCGTCCATCCAACTCACCCCATGTATCATGGAAAAACTTTCACCTCTCCGAGCCGGCAGAGGAGGGATGGGGGGATGTCGGTGACTTACTCCCTCACCGCCTCCAAATCGAACCTAAACTCCAACATTATAAGCATTACTAGACAAGGGGCTCCAGTAGTGATGAAGAGACACGTCAAATCTACGTTACCTAGGTACCTAGCCAGCGAAACGACTTAGAGCCTGACTTCATTCACCTGCTTTTGTCCCTCATCACCGGTGTATTAATCTCTCAACAACAAATGGCTTTGTGTCTTTCTCAAGACAAAAGTGACGCCTTTCGTCTGATGGCTGGGCCTTTACAAGAAAGAAAGAAAACTCTTTTTTTTTAATAAAAAAAAAACCAGGCCCTTTCCCCTCTAGTGTATAGCCCTGTAATTCTTACCTGACCTAACCTGACCTATACTTAGGGTCCCTGGACTCTCAGGATACCTTCCTTACCACCCTGCCATTCCTCATCAAACTCTAAGCATAGACAGACTCAAAGTGTTTCCCCGGGGCTATGTTCACCCAAATCAGCAAAAAGGCTTGGCCAAAACCAACAAATGTCCAAAACAGGAAATGGAAAGCCGACTGCGGGCAAACGGTGTCAACGGCAGTGATGGTGGGGGGAGGGGGGGGGGGGGGGAGCTGAGACGGTGGGGGGGTGTAAAAAAAGGACTGCGAAAACGGAGGGGAGCAGCGTGTTTCAGCTATCTTCCGTAAGTCCTCCGTGCATAGCTTGAATGACGTCTTGCGGTAGTTGCAATTCAAAAATGGATCTTCGCGTTTGTCTTTGCAGAAGAGTATGGCAATATGTGTTTTTTTTTGTTTGTTTGAACCTTGTTTGAATCCTCATTGACCCGTAATGACCTTGTCTGATCTATTTGACACGCTGATAAAAGCATATTCAATACGACTTGTCGTCGCTTGAACTAGGGTATACCATCCTCTCTTTTTCAATCTCCCCTTTACTCGGCAGAACCGTAAATAGTCTCCATCAGAATACCTATGAAGGGAATTAGCTTGCTGTAGCGATGTGCATTTGTGTGAGTGTTAACGTACCAGTAATTCTGTAGGGGTCGGCATTTGAGGCGGGGCGGCGATCCTCGAAGTAGCCGTAGCCCTTCTGGGCGCACTCTCTGGGGATACGAATAGAAGCACCACGGTTGGCAACTCCGTAAGAGAACGAATCGATGGAGCCGGTCTCGTGGCGGCCAGTGAGACGCTTCTCGTTGCCCTCACCGTAGACGGCAATGTGCTCCTTGTGACGACCCTCAAGCTTCTTGATGGCAGCCTCGATGTGCTTCATGCCACCCTCAACACGCATCTCCTTAGAGGAGAAGTTAGAGTGGAGACCGGCACCGTTCCAGTCACCGGGGATGGGCTTGGGCTCAACGGAGACCTTGGCGCCGAACTCCTCGGCAATGCGGGCCAGGAGGAAGCGAGCCAGCCAGAGGTGGTCACCCATCTCAATGCCGGTGCAGGGACCGACCTGATACTCCCACTGGGCGGGCATAACCTCGGCGTTGGTACCAGAGATCTTGATGCCAGAGTACAGGCAGGCCTTGTAGTGGGCGTCGACGATGTCGCGCTGGACGACCTTGCCGGCACCAACACCGCAGTAGTAGGGGCCCTGGGGAGCAGGGAAGCCGTTAGCGGGCCAGCCGAAGGGGCGGTTGCTGAGGTCGAGCAGAGTGTACTCCTGCTCGAGACCGAACCAGGGCTCGTGAGCGGCGTGAGCCTCCATCAACTTGGCGCACTCATGTCTGTAGTTGTACTTATTGGGGGTGCCATCGGCGTTCCAGCATTCGGAGAGGACGAGGATGTTGGGAGATCCACGGAATGGGTCGGGGAAGACAGCAACGGGCTTCAGGTAGACATCAGAGTTGTCGCCGGGAGCCTGGTTGGTGGAGGAACCATCAAAGTTCCACATAGGAAGGTCCTCGGGGGTGTACTCCTTCTCCTTGAGAGTCTATGGAGGCAAATTTGTTAGCTACGTGATGATAATAGATGGCGCTATGATGTAACTGCGAATAGAGGCATGCGCGGGTGAACTCGTGAGCCATCTTGGCTATCAAGGCTGACATCATGCGCCGCGCCTTGCCGTCAGGCTGACGATGCCTGGCGGAGCTACCCCCCAGTGGCCCCATTGGAGATCGTGGCCATTGCGTGGAGAACAGTAACGACCCTCGGCCGGCGGCTGGCCAACCGGTTTACCGAAGACGCGCCGACGGGCAAAAGGGGGAGGGGACTGATGATGCGGCAGCAACTCGCAAGACCTCCAATACCCGAGCTGCGGCGTTCAACCCTGCAGCTGTAGGCAAGGCAAAAAAAAGACTTGGAGCCAGGCGGACGTGGGGGGGGGGTTCCTTGCAGGATCGAGTCGTAATCGAATCCTTTCAGCCAGTCCGGCCGTGGCCCTCGAAAGAAGAGACCAAGACCAAAGCAGCAGGAACAGGTACGTACCACCCACCACCAGAAATGCGCACTGGAGGGGCAGGTGGTGTGTGTTTTGACCCCCGCCAAGCCCCAGTGCATGTCGCCGCCGCATCTGCTGCCGCTTGCTCACCCGCCCACAGCTTTTTGCCCGCTATTCCCAGCCGGAAGTCGGAGACATCCCGTAGGGGATGAATCCAGAGCAAGACGACCCGCTGCCCCAGCTTTTCCGTTGATGCAACCGTCGACACAGATGTCAGAGTGAAGGCATGAGCCATCTCAAACTGTGTCGCATCGCAACAGGAAAGGGCTGGGTGAGTGACATTTTCCGGTGGAATAGCGGGCTAGAGCGTCTGGAGCACCACGAAGGGCCCGGGGAAAATATGAAAAAGCCAAAGGAGGGGATAAGAAAGACAAGGTGGTTGTTGTGTGAACGTACCCTCGACTTGGAACGGGTCTCGCCATCAGCGTCGATCCAGATGTACTCGGCCATAATTGAGCCCTTCTGGTCAAGCTTGAGGTACTTGGCCAACTATTCGATGGGTCAGCATGATTGCTTATTCGATTTGCGCAAAGCTGACGGCTGGAAGTGAACTCCAGCTACACCAAGCTCAGCACCGGGTATGTTGGTGTAATCTCACGGTCTCGGGCCTGGAAGTGAAGGCAGCTTCTGTCGCCTGGAGAGAAAAGACGTGTTAGTAACTGTGATCCTCTTCTTCTTCTTCCTTCGATTTTGGGTATCCAGCATCGTGACTCGAGAGAACAGCATAACGCCAGCACTCAGGTCGCGATAGGTAGCATGACGTGGTGGGGCAGAGTTTGGGACTTACCATTTTTGCGGTTGTGTGTGTGATGTGATAAAAACGGGAAAAAGAACAAGGTCCAATTTGGAGATCAGGAAAAGGTTCGAGCAGTAGAGATCAAATGATCTATAGGACTGTAACGGGAGGAATAGAGGGATAGGATGTGGAAAAGTAAAGAGCAGGTACGATAAGAGCAGTCGAAGCGGGCGGTTGAGGGTTTTATGTTTTCCTCTGTCTGTCGTCCGGCAAGGAAGGCAGGCGCGGGCGCTGGTGGGAGAGACAGATTTGAGTGAGAAAGAGGCAGTCCAGTTCGCTCGATGCTCTATTTTTTGCTGGTGCTGCCAGCAATCTGCAAGGTACCGTCGAGATACCTCAGATGTTTCGCAGACGACCGGCCCTGTCGGCGAGGAAAGCTCATGTACAACCGGTACAGAACCGTAACTTTTGGCTCTTGTCTAGGTCTCTCGAGGTCTCTCGAGGGTCCCTCTTTGGTCCTTCAGCCCAAGATAAGGCCTGCCAGTGCTTGCCCATGACGGCGGCAGGGGTATGGCTGGTTCTGGCTTCTGGTATCGATTGCGGTGGGGTGAGAGGGGTGGGCTGGTGGGGTGTGGCCCCGGAAACATGTGCCCTCCCATTCGTCCGCCAGCCCAGAGTTTGGGGGACCACAGATACATGCCAATTCTGATTCGGTTCCCAGCGTCCCACGACGACAATGTCCAGGTACTTTGCCCGAACCCAGAACACCCTCTTCACCCACACATTTCCCGCCCTTTAACCTGCCTTTCTGTGCTGCACCACCACTCCCGTCTGCCACTATCAGACGTCTCTCAAGTATCCCTACTGCCTGGCTACGGCCCCGCGGTCCTCTACCACCGGCATCAAGTCTCCGTGGGAAACGGAAATGCGACGGGCGGACCTTTCACCTCTAGAGGTATCGTCAACTTCCTCTTCTCCGTAAATGGCCCCTGGGAAACTCCTCTTCCGCTTCCACTTGGGTGGTTTTGTTCTGTCAACCCTAGTCTCCAAGACTGATAAGTATGAAAATCACTGATCAAAATGTGTGACGATGACTTCGACGTGCGCCCAGTAGCCCGTTGACGAGCCACTCAGAGGCCGCCCGGCACCGCCCTTGCGGCAGTATCTGCGACTAGCTGCTGCAGCTGCGACCACCGACCCAACAATGACCACCTCGAGAAATCGCTACTTTGTATCCAGGTTTCCTACAGGCTACAGACAACAAGAAAAATTGCAGGTATACCGAGTAATAAACGGGTGCGGCAAACCGGACTGTAAAGACCCAGCCAGAGATAGAGCAAGGTATCGTCACTGGCGATTCAAGGACCAAGCAGGTACCTCTCACCCACAGGAGCCACCGTGCCACAACGCGGGGCACGTACCGATACATGTCATTTACGAGGCCCACGTCCGTCGGTCCGCTGTCCGCTGTTTCTATCCTTGGATCTTTGGGGTGCTCGTGTGCACTGTCGCCCGCCGCCGTGCCCATCGCCTTCGCCCTCGCCGCCGCTGTCGGGTCGCTGGCGCCGCTCCTCTTATCCTTGAGGCACAGTCTTACAGAGTACCTACACTATTGTCGCTGTCAGTGTATGTAGCGCTGCTCACGGTGGCTGTGGCTGTGGCATCCGCCTTTCGGAGACAGGCCGGAAGCCCAAGGAGAGATATTCCAGGTCTTAGAGTAGGTCCCGTTCCAGACCGCTTTCGATAAAAGGGTCCTGGAACTCTGATGCCCAAAAACGGCCGCTGATGAGTAGGCGGCCAGTCGATTTTTCGTAAGGCCGCGTTTCGTCTGAACCTCGCTTCCAGAACGGAAAGGAGACTGCGTTGAATTCCAATAAACTCTCGTCGTCGTAAATCCCGCGGGCCTACCTAACTAGAGCGCCTCCTAGAACCGGTGCGGGCTCCGCGAATGGCTTGCTGGGCGGTTCTGAATACCCCGAGGTAAAGTAGCGTCGCTTGCAACTTGGTTGCTCGGGTTCCACGCCGACGATCGCATGGCCATATTGCGACAGCGTGCATATTCCTGGCGCGGAATTTCCTTGGGATGGCACTGAACTCTTCCGGTCAGCTTTGGGGGGTGTCGTCAGGTACCTCAACTTTCCAAAATCTCGTCAGCTTGACGACCTTTCCCTCGAGTCGACTTTCCCAGTTTCCCCGCCAAAGGACCCTAGGTCCCAGGATGACGATACACCGCGCACCAGCCACTCAGAGTCTCACACCCTCACCGGCCCCAGGATCGTAACGTCCTTTCCATCGCACAAATCTCTTCAGGTTCCGCCGGCGCAACTTGTCGCGGCACGGCGACGCGCGCACTTGCGCTAATTCCCCTATCATCATCAATCTCCAACCCTTGCCATGGCTATGCTTGCCCGCGGCGCAGGAAAGACACCCATCCTCGAGGAGTTGCTTCCTTCGTCCTGTCGTTGGCATAGCTTCCGCCTACGTCGTGCAGATGGTTGTCTCATGAAAATTTTGCCCGCCTCCCGGTAGCAATATCTTGACGGCCCTCAACGTTGATTGTCTTGGTCTTTGTGCGTCTCCTTGTACGAGTCTGTAACCCCTTGGTGGGGGTATATCCCGGCGACCCTTATTCATTCTCCAAGGTATCTGTACCTCTGTGTCATCGTGACTCCCAAGTTGGACTGGTCCCAGATAAAGCCATCACATATCCCACCACAAGGCTATCGAGCCTGTCGACCCATAATGCGGCGGCGAGGGGCAAAAGGTGGGGTGTGTTGTTGCTCTGGACCAGATGCGCTCCAAAGGTCAGATCTGTGGTCAGTGCGATGGCTTCTTGTCGGTATCCTGTGAGCGACGGTGTGTTTACAACCAGGCCCGAGTCATTTGGGGGGAGTTCGGGGGAAACCCCATATCGCAACTTCTCTCCGACAGCGGGATGGTCATCTTGCTGAGCCCAAACCTTCGGAATCACTAGTCGACTTGTCCATCCGGCCAATATTCGATGGTGTTTTCGTCAGCGAACCCCCAAGGAACCCCCAAGCTTTTGCTCCACGAATCGACCATGTCGAAGCTATCTTCGGAGGGATACCCAATCCACATGGCCTGCCGTGACCCGTCCCTGCAAGACCTGAGTGAATATCTGGCTGATATGCAGCCCAAACGTCTTGGACACTGCAGGATGCACAAAGCTGGAGTGGACCGCGAGAAGAAGGCTGGATTCTCTGCTTCTTCCTTGTCCATAGCCCCTCCCGTAAGACGTAGCTGGAGGAACGGCATGCTGTCCATTCGTCGCATGTTCAGTCGGTCTCCAGTCGGCCATATCACACACGTTCTTCTTCTGATTATGATACGGCGTATCAAAGTCGGGCTCCCCCGCAATTTTTGCTCTCGGCAGGGTATTCGTAGGACTGTGGTACCTCCGTCCCATCGCCGGATACACGATTACCCCTCAGCATATCCATATGGATAGTCCGTCCCAACATCTCACTCGTCCACCACGGTTGATTCAGGCTGTATGCTGAATGTATTCTGGGAAACCATTGCCGCTCCTAGACAAACTTCAGGTAAAACTTTGATGATTCCATTATGGAACTGGATCTCCAGATGTGACCTGCAGGAGACCTCCATCTCGGGTGTCTCCAAAGCATCAAGTGTGGGACGCTAGTGGGGGATGGTGCATTTTGCATTGAGGGCTTATCGTTGGGCGCTGATTGGTCGAAGCGCAAGTGCAGAATAATTGAATTCTCTCAGGAGCCGTGTCGGTTCCAAGGTCTCCTTAAAGACTGGCATTAATCTCTCGAGAAGCTCCTCAGCTATCGTAGTGCCCTAGGCTGCTAAGCACCTTTCCCTCTCTTGCTATTCGCGACTCCAGTTGACGGGCAACGATGTGTAACTTCACGGGGTGTCGTTGACCTCGGTGAAGTGTGTGGCAGCTGACAAGCTTACTCGGTGGAGAGCCGCGGCGGTGACATGGGGACGCTGCGAACATGAGGTGCAGTCAGAGGTACCCCGTCCACGGCGGACAATTGCTGTTTGGGTCCCAACCCAAGGGCTAGTGCCGCAATGTTGGATTCTGGAAAATGTGGATGGAGCAGCCATGTTGGGTTTGGGCGCCGGCCCGGCGGGGATGGGGGAGGAGTGTGGATGAATCGGTTGTGTGGTGTTCCTCTCGTTAATTGACCAGGACTCTGCAGAATCGGCTCGTCTACCAGGTCGCCGAGACCGGGCAAAGAGGAGCAGCGGCAACGGCCGGCAAAGGAGGCACGGCAGCACCACCACGGCCCAAGACTTTTGCGGTCGGCTGCTCCGACGACATTCGATGTCCGCATCCCACACCGGCAGTCCATGGACCAGACCCATCTCGACCGACCGCCTGCGAAGTCCAACCCTCTCTCGTTTTCAACCACGATCTCGCTGGTTTTCGTCGTCGACTTTTTCCCTTCAATCGCATGCGAAAAGCCGTCATTTCCCATCGTCCGAACTCTACGAACAACGAGAATTCGCCGGTCTCGTCGCTGAGTGGTCGGCGTTGACACACAGTAATTCTCTCATTGGTCGGCTGCCACCCGCCACGATCGGGACTTGGCTGAACACTGCCGGGGCACCTGGGCGAGGCATGTCAGGGCCCCCGATCGAGAGTCTCACGAGGTCAAAAATGACGTCTTTGGCATGGTCGATTAGGGGAAGCCGACCCAGAATGGCGGCGATACCATCATGGGTTCCGGTGCGATGTCTTTCAGGAGATCTTGGAGACTGCAAGAGGCAGCCGGGAAAGCAGGGCCGGGAGACAAAGACCGCTTCCGTGACGTCGGCCACGACAAGTGTCGGGCTGGGCCTGAACCTCAATTTCGACTACGACGTGGGGAACCGGAATCGGGAATCGGGAGTGTCTTTCTCACAAGCCAGTCGGTTCTTCTGGGACCAGTTGCGTATTCCTCAGGGGGGGTACGGAGTGCGTCTCGGTACTGGCAAGCGCCACATGGAGAGGCCGAGGACGTGTGTGCATGGCGACGCGACACGAGCCCACAGCAAGGCGCAGTCGACACCGTTGCCAGAGCCGGGTTGAGTCAGACTCGTGTTCGGCCGACGGCGGTCAGTGGTTATTTTCGGAGTATCGTTCCGGGCCAAGCGGTGGGAGATAAGACGGGAGGGCGTTCTGGAACTTGCATGGAGGATATCCACGATCCAAGGGACCAAGTGGAGGGTGGAGGATGACTTTGATGTGTCACAGCGCGCCCGCAATGTGCGGCGTGCCTGAAAGCGCAGGGCAAGGCGAGGCGCCGCATCCAACGAGACTGCTTGAGCCTTGGCTGCCCAGACCCAACAATGGAAAGCACCGAGTGGGTGTGCCCTTCCTTCCCGTCTGCTTTCTTAAATTCTTCCGCCTGCAGGATGGGGTGGGAAAGAGTGGATTTGCGCCAGTGCACAGATGGTGAGAATCACTGCATTCGTACTGTACCAGAAAATAGGGGTCGTTTTGTATTCGTTGAGGCGGCAACTGCAACAGCAATCGCGACTTCCTGTCTTTGGTTTGCTCGCTGTTGCCCTTTTTGCTTCTTTGAATGCAGGAGCATTTTCTGCTTTTTTGCAGGCAGGAGCAACAAACGCAAATCACATGATATGGGTATACCTAGGTACAATCGGCTTAGGAAAGAGCAATACAGAATATTTCAATTTAGGAAATCGCGCTTGTCTGCTGGAGCTCCCTTAGGTTTGTCCAAGGATGATTTTGAACAACCTAAGATACCTTGATTGGAAGAACGGAGGGCTGCACCAAACATCTTTGCTTCATGCTGTGATTTCTGGATTCATTTGCCTGCTATACGAATCAACTCTTCATCCCTCACTGACGCTAGCAACCCATCTTCTCCCGCCGTGCTCATACCATGAACTGGACCGAGGGAGCTTTGGCTCGACATTCTCGAGGGAAGGGCTGGAAACCGGAGATCGCTAAACAAAAACAGTACTTCGCAAAAGCTCGCTCGGGGCTTCACGGTCCTCCCAAGCCCGGCTTCGACTCTATTTCCTTTTTCTCTCAGCAGGCCAATTCTTCGACATATCCTATGAAGCGCCTCTCTACAGTTCCATCACAAAATTCGCCGCACTTCCAACAGCACCAGCAACACCGGCACAGCCAGCACCGCCAATACGACCAGAAGAACCAGCACAATGTTCCTCAGGATCACCGTCTGTTGATGTCGCCAGGGCAGCATGTGCGGAAGGAACCTCTAGTCGCAGGAGGCCACGGCATTCTACAAGAGCCTCGCTCACAGCATGCTACCAAGAAACGAAAGCTTCCTGAGTATGACCCTGAGCTCTTGGATGCGAAGAGACACCGTTTGCTACAAAAAGGCGACTGGGCTGGGATCAATGTCCAAAAGTCGCTACCTCTGCATTTCTCGGGAGCTAGCAGCTCAAAAGGACGCCAGATCTGGGGCTTTCGCAACAAGCATCCTGAGGGTCAATCTGGCTTCTTCTGGGAGCAGAACGGAAATGGAAGGAGACCACTACAAGGCAAAGCTACAAGCTACATTAGCACGCAAGGCGGAGACAAAGACGTCCGGATCAGAATCGGCAGTGAGGATATTCGATACAGCGGAGGAAGTCAGATCACGGCAAAAAGCTCTCAGAATCGTCTTCCCAGAACTGCGACCCAGTCGAAAAGCTTACGACAGTCGGAATACTTTGTCCAAACCTCGTCTCAATTCTCTGCGCAGGATTATGGTCCTCCAGGATTGCGAGGCCAGAGAGCTTTGCCAGTGTCCGAAACAATATCTTCGACACAGCGAAAGCATGGACAGAGTGCTGCGTGCCGCGGAAATCCTCCGCGCGCCTCGATGTCGCTCAAAGCATATAGGTACCCAACCCGACTTGAGCGTTTGCCAAAGGAACCGAGCCGACTTGAGCGTTTACAAAAGGAAGGTCGGTCATTACTTGTTGAATCATCTCCATCCAGGGTACATCATCCTGTGCCTCGACGACTGAGCCAGCTTGTAATGCTTGAGAGATCAGGGAAACCAGCGTCCGAAATGTTTGGGAGCACCATTGGTCAGGTCGGTCGCAACCCAATGCAAGAAGTTGCGCCATCGGAATGCAGTGAGAACCAGCGATGGCAAAAGATGATCGAGTCTCATGAAGATCAAACAAAAAGCCCATTCGAGAAAGATTCTAGTGCAAGTCGCAAGATCGTCAAGATCAGTCCCGGAGTCAGCAACATCCTCATTTCAAGCAGCTCGGTGGTCCATGATTCGAGATTCGACCACCCCCCGATGAGCACATTTACGGACTTTTCTTTGGATGACAGGGCGCAGGACAGTATGGAAACTGGCCAGTACAAGCGCTTTGGCACCTCTATCAAGAATGATGGCCAACCAAGAGCCACTGCAGAGAAGATGCGATCCTCATCACCTCTGCTGCCGATCATATCATCCACTCTATCAGCTGGTCGACCGAGAGGTGACCTTTACAACGATAAAGAGGGACTTTCCGAAGACACATCCCTCGCGCATGCAGAATCCTGCTCAGACGATGGCCACTATGCGCAGCCTCGACAGCTACCGCCCATGTTTGAGTCGGATAGCGAGGATAAACCAACTCTGAACAAGCAAGAACCAAGTGAGCAAAACTTGAGGCCTACCGATGAAGAAAATGAGGAAGTCGAAACCTCAATTTTCCTTCCTCAGACACTAGATACAGATGCCGGAAATGCTATATCGGTGCCAGGCTCAGATAAAGTAGACATGGATACAGAGTGGATGAGCTTCATATTCGGCGAAGACGTCGAAAAAGATGAAGACATTGCTTTCAAAGAGTCGCTCAAGGAAGCTGCACGAGACTTACGGCCATCGAGCAGCTCCGCTGGCGACTACTACCAACCTTCTGTGGTTCCCATCTCGGCCTTTGCCTCCAAAGAACTTGCACCACACAAGATGCTTCAACACCAACATAAGGGCGCTCTGAATCCGGCATCGCTGGGATCTTCTCTAAA